TTCCACAAGAGAGGGATCTCTAGAGTCATGTTTTATTTTAGGTTGCAGTCCACCAAATCAAGCCCCATTGAAAATAGTTAAGTCAGCATTGTTCAGGGCAACATGCATGCCAACATGTTGTAATTTTGTCCTGAATCTTTCAATTTCTTCTTTTTTTATTTTTAATTAATCACACAAAACAAAAATCCCCCCACCCAAAGTGATATATATAGCTCTGAAGTCTGCATGCAGCCAGTTTTCCAATGGCATCCCTCTACTTTCTTGGGTACTTCCATGTAGGACCATTTTCAACCATCCTTTGTATCCATTTTGCACTTAGATGAAAGCCGAGAGAACCAGGGAGTTGACCCTGACAATGATTTACACAATCTCACCGTTTTGGGGGCAAAACAGTCTCCTTCTTCAAAAGAAATTAGAGGCACTTATTCGTGCTAATGAGCTGGGAGAGATTCTGACTTGAATTAATTAGTGGACTGCACCCCTCATGGGACCGACCACATGAGAGACAAACAGGGCTAAGTAGTAGCCTGCTCCGCCCTCAAGGGAAAAATATTCCCAGCTACAAAGGCAGCTGTTTCCACACAACATTACCTTAAAGTGATTACTAATGTACATGTACCACCTTCAAAGATAATGTGTACCGGTGTATGGTACTGTAATCGGATGAGGATTTGGCTGTATCTGGCCATTCACTGTTCTATCTAAATTTGTACATGTACATTATAGGCCTTCTTGTGGCTACATTTTCCACCATTAATTAATTGTCTTATCCTTTATTTTGTGTGTCAACTTCCTGCTGCACATTCATATTCTGATGCTTCTGACTTGTACTGTTTAAACTACAGATATCTACACCCTTTACTTTTTATTTTAAGCCCCACATGTATGTATTTCTTATTTATTTAGGATTTTTTGGTCAAAATGGTTGTGTGTGCAAGAGGGGCTAAATGTAGCGGTACATGCATGTACACTTATATGTGTACCAGTAAAGGTCTTTTTATTCTGTTTAAAATCTCTGTGTTAATTGGATCCTTTGGATGAGTTCTTTCCAACCCTTTCCACTCAAATCCAATATGGTTTTACATGGCGTACATGTATATACATGTAAGAAGACCCTCTCCCCATGCAGGTAAAATTCAGCCTCAAGGCGGTTCATACTTCAGGCGAAAGCAGATGTGAAGCGAATTTGTCAGGGACATGGTACACGTCACAATGGAACTTCAATTGTTGATGTCATGAAACTCGCTTTGCATTGGCTTTCGCATGAAGTATGAACCGGGCTTTAGTCATGATAAGAATTATGACTTGGAAAGCTCTTGTACTTATTTGTTCATGTTCATATAAGCTCTTGCATTATGTTCTCATCACTTCTGTCCATTGTCGTAGATACTGTACAATATCGTACATGTACTGTAGTGCTCCGGCGGTGCTCTCTCTTAGTTTACTTGTACCGGTAGCAGGTTGGCTTAACACCAGACAGTGGCTTCACATGCAAGTATTAACCTGACTGTAGCATACATGTACATGCTAATCAGACTAAGCATTGCATGCACTCAGTGTACATTTTCACTTTCACTCATGCAACATCGGGCCATTTAGGGTTTTTATAGTACATGATATGTATCTTAGAAACTCTGTGTACATACTTTATATACATTGTCATTTAGTGGTAGAATATTTAGGTGTTAATTCTGGTTGGACACGTACATAGCGAACACTGTACGTACATGTACACTGTGCATAAGTACATGCACAGTGTACATGTATCGGTACATGTACTAATTTCAAGTCACAAACTATTAGTTACAAGGCATACACCTGTACTGGTAGCACACTAGAAATTATCTTCAAGCAAACTTGAACTCTCAATTCTGATTGGTCGATCCATGGTAATAAACAGTGTGATATGGTATATAACTGTATTGCACGGTTCATATCACACCCTGTGTAGTATGCTGTTCTACATGTAACTCAACGTACATGTACTGTGCTATTTTTATACTAAAAACAAACGCATGTCCGCATGACTGTAGATTCAAAAGTGGTGTGTTTGCCCGTGCCGATTGTCAAATATCTTTAATTGCACCTACAATTCCGACAATTTCCATTCTTAGTGTAAGCCCTGTTATTGTTTTTATTGAAATAAGCTAAAACACAAACAATTCCAATGCTCCCTAGATAAAATTGCAGAAGTGTGGTGCATAAGGTGTGAGTGTAAAGCGGACATAGGCCCCTTTACTATCTTTACTGCTCATCAAGTTTGCTTGAAGATAAATTCGATATCACCTGCGGGCTCTTGGAACAAGGAATAATGTTGTGCATCGGCCTCATGGTATACGGAACACAGACACACTACATTACTCCATGCTCCACTCACGCTGGTGTGGTTACTGATAGTGTATGCATCTGAAGGTGTTTGGAAAATAATTGTGTTACTTGTGCACGTGGGTCATTCCATGAGGTTAAGGCACAATTTGTGACTGTGTCCATTGTTGCGTGGGTTCTGTAAAAATGAACAGCTACGGTTTTTCCGTGCATGTGGATTCCAAACTATTCATCTTGCAAGGCTTAATGCAGAGGTGTATGTTATTTTTATAGAGTAAATGACCTACTCTACAGGTCATGTCTCTACAGGTCATGACAGGTGGTAAAAGTTACCCATGTAACAAGGACACCATCACAAATTGTGCCCCAACCTCATGGAATGACCCACATACATGTATTGTAATACAGTGGACATGGATACACTCAGTTGGGTGTATTTTATTTGAAAAGGGGATATTGTTCTTGCTGAGTACACATTGTGTGTTCTTCCACTGTAGTTTCAACATCTGGCAGAGTATTCAGTTTCATTGTTAGTATGAAGTTGTGTGACAATTTAGTGACATTAACCAAATGTGAATTTGATATTACTACCTGCCAATGTATGTGTTTGCCATACTTTCCTGCTTACCACAATGTACATGTACCTGCAGTGTAAATTCTTTGTTACATGGTACATATGTAACCAGGAGGTTAGTGGGGCTCTCTACAGCTGACTGATTTGCCTGTATGGTTCATCAGGGCAAATATCTCCCTGTGCATTGATGACCAATGGCAGAATGATTAGAGGGTGTGATATGACATCTGTTACTGTAATGGTCTGTGCCATCCTTGTTTTTTTCTCATTTTAGATTGACCAGTGCACACTTGGTACTCTCTCCAGTGCCTAGCCCTTGGCAGTCACAGAAGACACAGCAATGGGCAAGCAGAACAGTAAACTCAAGCCAGAGGTGCTGCAAGATTTGAGGCAACACACAGAGTTTAATGAGAGTGAACTACAGGAGTGGTACAAGGGCTTTCTGAAAGGTAGGTAATTTCCTTGATACCAAGGAAATTATCCACACTGTGACTTTTGCTTTGTGGTTTACCTTTAGTGTGCTGCAGTAAAAAGCCATAGCCACAGGCACAAATAAATTTTCCCAGACTCAGCCACAATGTCATTTGACCAGCAGACAGTCACAAAAACAACTTGGCATGAAGTATCTTTCAAAAGCCTGTTAGACACGCTTTTATAAACCCTAACCATTCTCAATCTTCCAAAATCCACTGGGCAATTTTGAAGATTTCAGAGGATTGAGGCTGTATGGCACAATTTTATTGCTGATTGTAAAAGATATATTGTAGCAAGGTCTTTGGTTAGACCTTGTACATGCACATGTATGGTTTATGCTCCACCTTGCATAAATTTATTTATGCCTAAATTATACATGTACATATAATCATCCATACAGCTTGCTCCAGGATACCATTCACCCTGCATTAACATGAGAGCAATTGCTGGAGGATTTGAAGGATTGAAGCTGTGGTCACCCCTCCATTGAACATAAATATATTCAAGAAATATCTAGAGAGTTTCGAGGATTGATGCCGCATCCAATTTTTCCGCAAGGGCAGTTTGAGGATTTCAAAGGATTGGGGCTGTATCGCTGCCTAGAGGGACGGGGCAGTTACGGTTAACAGTGTACTGGCTTGAGACTTGAACCTAAGATTCTGGATTGGTAATGCAAACTTTTCAACCATGAGTGACTTGTGACATATGCCAGTGACTCACAGAAGCAGAAGTTTGGATGTTGTGAAGAAATTTAGATGTCAATAACTCAAGCTCTATCATATGCCAAAGTCTACCTGTCTTACTTTGTCAAAAGATCATTCCAGAATTTAGTTGAACCAGGTTTAAATAAACTTTTTGTTTTCAGATTGTCCCAGTGGCCACCTAAGTGTTGCAGAATTCAAGAAAATCTACGGTAACTTTTTCCCCTATGGCGATGCCTCCAAGTTTGCCGAGCACGTATTCCGCACATTTGACGTCAACAACGATGAGACAATTGACTTCCGTGAGTTCATCATCGCGCTTAGCGTGACATCACGGGGGAAGTTGGAACAGAAGCTGAAATGGGCCTTCAGTATGTATGACCTGGATGGTAACGGCTACATCTCAAGGGGAGAAATGTTGGAAATTGTTGAGGTGAGGTGACATGAACCATACAGACAGTTAACATACCAGTTTATAGAGGCAGTAAATGCAAATCTGACTTAACTTCTGATCCCAATATGCCAAATGTCTGCATGTGACATTTTCAACTATGATCCCTGATTTTTATCAGGATGACCCAGGTTATTGGACTAATGGGGGCCAGAAAATCCTAAGTTTCTACCCTTCGGTGTACCATTCTTTCTTTGAATCACATTTCTGCTAGGTTTCCATTTGGTCATCTAGTTAATATAGACAACTGTTTTTTTGTCTTGGCGCAACAGCTCTGCAAAGTGGAATTCACCCATTGAAATATGTACCCTCCTTCAAAAGGGGTTCTTTATTTATTCAACATTAGTTGAAAACAAACAGTGTTTCACATTTGTGCATTGAAAGGAATAATTTCATTTGGTGGCAGGTAAAAAAGTTGCACTTCACCAATCACCTGATGAAATTATTCTTGGGCTCTGTGGAACGTGCGTTAGAACTTGCCAAATTGTCGCACATTTCACAGGACGTTTTTTGGTATTTGACATGCCCATTAATTCTTTCTTCTCACCCCACAACTTTCCTTTCTCAAATTTGGCTTCACAGGCTATCTACAAAATGGTAGGAACAGTCATGAAAATGCCAGAGGATGAGTCCACTCCAGAGAAGCGTACGGACAAGATCTTTCGCCAGATGGACAAGAACATGGACGGCAAGCTCTCACTGTCAGAGTTTGTGGAAGGCGCTAAGAGTGATCCCTCTATTGTCCGGTTGTTACAGTGTGACCCCAGTGGGGGTGGAGGCAGTATGATGTAAATTGTAAACACTCTACCCGCTTGTAGCCGATGCATCTTGTGCCACTGTGCAGTGCAATCTTAGCAGAACTCCTTTATCTCAAGAATCATTCGGTTCTTGAGTTTTTACTGACTTGTGAAGAAAGGGCACTGTGTGAGAGAATAGTTTGCAGTTTTGTTACTGTCAGGAGTCAAAAAGTGTGGTAAATTTGAAGGGACTCTTGTTTGTGTGTGTTGGAGGAAGTGATGCCATGCAACCCAAGTCAAAACAAAGTTACGTTTTTGATTTTCTGGTTTGATCCCATCAGAATATTGTGATACACCGACCAAAAAGGATTGGAAGAAGAAATTACCATACTGAAGTTGTGTTATCACAGAGGGACATAATATTCCATTGGTTGTACTAACAAGAGCTACATGTACCTATCCTCTCCCTACACAAACTTAAATTTCAAACCTCTCTCCCCTTAGGGATTCGGCTGAAACTTGGTATGTGGGTAAGGACACTATTAAAAAGGACATCTGTGAAGTTTCAGTTCAATCCAACATAGAAATTTGGTGATAAGGTCGTTTGTAGTTCACAGCTTCACATGATAGTGTCGGGTCCTCATGCATTGGGCACGTCAGTGGGAAAAGGTGACATTTGTGGCTGACCAACCACTGTTAGGGAAAACAGCCATTTTGTGAAAATGGTGTAACTCAAATCAATTGCAAGACATTAGAAGGCTCAAAACAGGAAAACAAATGCAGCAGTGATGTACTGTATCAGAGCAAATCTAGAAGCTGAGGCAGGGGGTTCTGCCCCAGCAGTTCTCTTAGGGTTAAAAGTGGACTTTTAACAAGGTGTATGCACCATAGGTATACTGTACATCAGCTTGTAATAGTTTCACCCTTCATATTGGCATCTATTCACACACAGTCTCAGTCTTGAGAAGGTTAGCCATGATATGGCTATGTAAACTGGAATGAAACTCACTTTTGCTCTACAGCAGCTGTACGGTGTTTTAACGTGCCAGCATCAATTTAGATTTAGTGGATTCCACGTCTAAAGAGACTTGAATTACTGGAAAGTTTGCTGTGATGAGTTTTGCTAAGATCTCACTATATCTATTCCTTTGTTGCTTTTTTGTGTCTTTGCTTTTCATACATTTATTTCCTGCCCAATTTTTGTTTTATGTATTGAACAAAATACAATTATGTGTGCTATAGAAAACCAAGTGACTATTTCATGTAAGCACTTAGCAACCTCTATCTGGTTTTAGACATGAGCTTCATCAACTGTATTGTACGCTGCATGATTCAGTAACTTTCTGCACACGTCTATACACAAAGGTTTTCAGATACATAGAAGTTAGAGAAGCAATAAGTTCTATGGATTTAGGGTAGCAATGTTGATAGGTTTCTAACAGCTACTACTAGAAGGTTTTTATGTTGGTTAAAACTCATTGTTTGATAGTGCCATAGAGAAGCTCAAAGTTGTTTTGACTAAGTTCATCTTTTGAAAGTCAAGTGTGAATTTAGGTTTTTCTGTGTACGGTACAGCTGTCCCCATGTATTCTGGTTTAGGCTACTCATTTATTTTCTTGGTTTACACATAGCTTGTATTGATCAGTTCTACATGTAATTTTCAGAGGGAATTCTTGAGGACTAAGTGACTCCTAGATTATAGTCTGGTGAAGACAGTATCTTACCGGTGCATGTGCAGTTTTTTTTATATTGTCTGACTATTGTTACCACAGACTTCCAGGTTCTCCAATCTCAAATAGCTGATGCCATCAGAAATAAAGATGTTACCTCCTTTTTTCAGTCTAGCCCGATCCCTGTTTGCAAAACAGTATGGAGTCAGTTTGTGTATTGGCGCTTTAAGAACCTTGGTTTGAATCCCACCTAGGTATCTAGTCCCTTCCTAATTTGTTCTCCCTTGGATTATCATTTGGGGGTTTGCCTTTCACTCCCAAACCTGGACCTTACATCCTCATCTTTGCTGTGGCAGATGCTTCAGGCAACTGAGCTGCGGTACCTGTGCATTTTTTGCAGAATCTTCAATTACCAGAAAGAATGTTTTAAAAAAAAATGGAAGATATTTTATGATTGCCATCAAATAGAAAAGCAGAATCACTTGTGGACTTGCAACATAATCTTGATATGTATTTGGTGGATTGGCAAACCCATTGAATTCATCTCTGGTCATAAGTTAACTGTGAGAAACTTAGAGCTCAAAATAGACTTAAATTCAACTTGTATGTGTATATGTGTTAATTGAACTTGTTGAAAACCTGATGTTGTGCATGAAGTTACCTGAAACTGAGCAGTGTATTCATGAGCAATATAATGGGTTGCTCTTGAAAACTTCAACAGCACTACCTACTTATATGTGCTTATTGGAAGTTTTAGTGGGAACACTTGTGCACATGATCGCAGGCCTTGTTTGATATTTTTGGAATTTTTAATAGATTGTTTAAATTTTACACATTGAAAAAATGACAGATATTTTCTCAGTGTTGTATGGATAGTTAGTAGTGTTTCATGCACACTTTGTTCATGTTACCAAAGTAAGCTGATGTGTAGATATAATGGCTGGACATAATTTTCAGAGTAACTGGCTTGTTTTTTCACAGATACATTTCTGATGCTATATGTAGGTGTTGGAGTCGGGTAATTATATAAAGTAGTAAAGTTGGAGAAAATGTCAGTACCTTCTCTTATTGTGGCGTGAAAGTTAAAATTTGAACCCGCATTTGAATGGATCTTTGCTCAGCATGGCATTGCCCTTTGAAACCTGTATTGGACACTCATGGGTACCAGATTTGTGTAGTATCCTGACTTATTGATTGGATTGGTGCTTGGTCTTGCACATTGTGAAATGACTTATGCTGGATGCTGGATTTCAGACAGGCACATTGACTAGTACGGTCAAGCGCTGCTTCCAAACTAATAACACATTTCCACTTAATCCTCGTTCCATTAAAATCTTACTTACTCACGCTGAAACTTGACTCTTAAATATGTGTTCATTTTCAATCCATATATGTACTTTTTCAATCCAAGATTTGTACAGTAAGTCTATCGTTCACTGAAACTGACCTATCATAAGCAGCACAGTTGAAATTTTCTCAGTGGGTTGGATTCATGAAGACGAGCAAAGAAAGGCAAAAACAAGTAGATAAGTCAATCGCAGAGATGTCATATGCTTAAAGGGTTCATGCAAGAAATCTTTCCTAGACACACTTTTTGTAAATCTTTCAGCTTTTGAAAACTATTTGACATGCTTTTTGGGGTGGGGTAAGTGTACCAAAAATGTGCACTTTTTGAAACATTCAAAATTCCAGGCTTTTCATCAAAACTGAAGGTGCTGTTTTGTTGACAATGAGGAAAGAAGCTATCTTGGTTATGTTCAAATTGTGAACCAAAACTTTGTTCACGGGAAACTTTTCTGAGAAGGCATTGCTCATTTATTGACATGTGTTCACAAAATAGTGAATCAGTAAACAAAAGAAACATTGGTACCGCAAAATATCACATATTCCAGAAGATTTTTATGCTCAGATCATGCAGCATGGAGGGTTTTCTGCCTGGTGTGATATCACAGATTTGCTGATGAATAGAGAAATGTATATTAGCATAAATATCAAACAGGTGCAAAATTACATTTTAGAGTAGTAAAACAAGAAAAGAAAGTGAGATTAATTGAAACACAAAGTTGTGTTTTAATGATTTGTAACAAGAATAATTGCATTATATGGACACTTTAATATTGCCCATGAAAGCATTGCATGCTAATGTGCATTTTGTCATCGAGGTAAAGAGTGCACTGCCGCTTTGTGATTGATGGTTCCCTACAGAGACATACACAAACCACAGACTACATGTAGCAGATGAATTGGTCAGTAGGGGCATGGGTACCAGCACAAAACGGCTACTGATAGGTCAGTTTTCCATTCATTTTGTGATCAAAGTGTATTAAAATTCATTTGTCTGTGCGGCAATCCATCTGAGGAAAGTTCAATACTAACTGTATGAAATCTTATCTTACAATTCTATGTGTATCAAAGTGCGCTTATTTTATCTCTCTTTCTCTTTTTAAGTGTGGAATAGAATCATGAATATTACCAAATCTTGTTACATATTCTTCTTTCAATCATGTATAACTGGCTTGAAACTCGATATCATTGAAATTGACATCTATTTACTTGCAATTTAGATTCACGAGCAGAATTTTCCATGTAAAGATAATCATGTAATGTGCTGAATACATTTTTACATACCATGTACATTTACTTCACAAGAGTATATGAGTATGTATGTACGGTAATGAGGTAGTTTTGCAAAGTAGTTTGATTTTTATGTAGCAAAAATTCTCTCTTTGTGGTTTACTTTGTTTTCTCAATTCCAGCTTTTAACTTCTTGTGCATTGTTAATTTCAATGCTCTAGATCTTAAGATTTTGACCAAACAGTGATTTTTTTTAGCTGTTAATACTTTCTTTGGGAAATCTATAAATTATGATTTTCTCCATGGGAGTTCTTGGATGTACTGATTTAATGATAACATGCCCAAGACCACTCGTTAGTCTTCAAGTGAGATAAATCAGTTATAGACAATATATAAAAAGTAGTTTCATCGGTAAAAGAAAAATAGTTCGAAGCATACTGACATAATAAAATGATGTGGCTTGTGAAATTATAATGATCTTTTATTTAATATCAGTGAATGTGTAGGTGTTATTTATGCCATAACTGCAAATATTTTTTGCTTTACTATACTTTTTGAAATATCTGCTGAGACTGAGTAACCAGAACTAAACTCAGATAGTCCAGACTGCTAAATGAAGCAATTAGCATCTGAGGTCTCTACTTTTGAGCTTTTTCCTTCGTTTCAAAATTTGGATCATCTTGGAAATACTTTTAACACAGCTGAATGAACTTGAAATGTCTGACTTTGTCAAAGGTCCCTCTAAATGGAACTGTAATCAAAGCACAACCTAACATTCGGTAAACTTGACAATGGAAGTAACTCCTGCATTTTGAATTGTGCTGTTATTAGTTATCAGCCTCACATTCCTGGAACACAGGAAAGTGTAGTGTGTCT